ATTACCGAGAGATCAGAAGATGATCTACGAGACAGCTTCAGATTCTCTAACCTCTCTTTTGCACTCATCTGGATTCCAGACCTAACCCTTCTTGGGGCACTCTCTTTCCATGTTCTGCCACGTGGGTTTCGATGATTACTCGAAGAAAAAAAAAATTTTAACTTTGAAAACCTAAAAACCAAACAAAAACAGATGAAAAATTGAGGAATTTACCTAGGAAGTTCCACCATGAAATAAACCCTTTTGGATTCTAAGTATTGGTGAGGATCTAATGGCTTTGCTCTGATTCCGAAATGTTTCACTGATTCGGAATCGAAGAGAACGTGGCCTGGAAAATCTTTAACTACCGTACAAGCTTTAACAGGAGTTTTCAGCTTGAAACTCTCTCCATTGATCTTCATGATTTTCACAGATTTTTTGCTTCCCAAGGTATTACCCATTAGAGAGATGTTTCTAGGGTCTACTAAAAATGTGATCTGTTTAAGTCTATACAAAAAAAAAAATATTTGTGAGTGGTTATCTATTAAGAGCTCAGTAGTTCAAGGTGGGTGCTGTGTTAGATCAGATCATTATAAGATTTTTGGATTTTATGGTTGGTTGCTGATGATAGTGAACTATTTTTTTGGTCAACAAAATGCCAAATCTTGAAAATATATATAAAAAATGACAAGAACAATGGGAAGACAAAAAGTTACGTCGCGTTTCGCTATCGATTTTGAAAAAAACCAATAACAACCCGAAAATCATGTTTAATTTTTTATATTCAAACTCCAATAATTAATTGAAAATAAAAATGTGTACTGTTCTTCACTTATGTTAGACTACAAAAGTCTATGTGTTATGTTTCCTGGAAAATGACTCTTGCGTTAATCACTCCGATTAATCTGGAAAAACTACGTTTGCGAAACTGTTTTTTTTTCCCCCAAAGGCACGTGAAGATTGATTTGACTTTTAACGAATTTGAATACAAAATCTAATTTTGCTTCTCTTTCCAGGAACTAATGCACTTGAAACCAAATACCAATAGAACTTATCAATCATATGAAATGTTGTTTTGTTTTTTGTTTTTACAAAATTAACAAATCAATACAAAAGTGAGTAAAAGAGTTCGATTTTCGTAACTCTTTTCACTTCCACCTTCTCAAATGTAATTAATCTTCAAAAAGAAAAATTAAACTCAATAATCAACAGAAGAACATAAAACAGATCAAAGAAACAGCTAGAATATTTAAATTAAAGTAAAATCTTTTTTGTTGTTAAGAGCTATTTTAGTGTAATTATTGTGATGATTTACGAAGAAGCTCAAGCAAAGAATTAGCTTTCCTCTTAGCTCTCTCTGTACCATCTCTTGATAGTTCCATCAATGGAACAACAGCTCCAAGTCTACCAATGGAGATAAGTTTTTCAGTATCTCTCTTGCAAAGAGAAAGCAATATCGCGGCTGCGTTCTCTCGGTTTCTCGGTTGATCCTTTTGGAGAAGATCTATCAATGGTGGTATCGCGTTCGCCTTCAAAATCGCGGCTTTAGCGTCTTGGTTACTAGCTAGAACCGAGAGAATGGTCAAGGCTTCATCGACCATTCTGTGGCTCGAGTCAGTCAGCATTTTCACTAATGGGTTTACAATACCGGCTCTAACCGCTCTACCTTTGTTTCCTTGATAAATACACAAGTTGAACAAAGCCGTAGCAGCGTCTTTCTTCCCTCTGGCGCTACCGTTCTCAAGTAGATCCACTAAGGCCGGTATCGCACCCGATGCGCCTATTATGATCTTGTTCTCATCAGCTAAAGAAAGGCTAAAGAGAGTAGCTGCGGCGTTTTCTTTAGCTTCCATGGTTCCAGCTCGGAGGACATGCACTATAGATGTGACTGCTCCTGCAAGCATTATCAGTTCTTTGTTGTTTTCGTATATGGAGAGGTTAAGAACGCAAGTGACAGCGTTTTCCTGCGTTTCAACGTCGTCTGAGGTCAAAAGATTGATCAAAACAGGGATGGCTCCTGCTTCTGCAATCAGAATCCGGTTGTCTGTGCTTCGTTTTGACAAAGTACGGATTTCGGAAAGCGCAGTTCTGCGGTCTTCGATTGATCGGGTAGAGAGCTTTCGAACCAATGCTCGGATCGCTGACATGTCTCCACTTAAATCACGGAAAGACCCATCACGGTTTTTGATCCTACCGTCTATGTAACCACCTGGTTGCTCAATGTTGTGCTTAGCACACCACTGAGAGATCAGGCTTCTGAGAACGTAGTTTGGAGTTAGAGTAAAGTTTTCGAGTTTCTGCTGGGTCTTCGGACATCTCAGATTTCCACAGTCTATCCATCTTTGTATGTACGACCTCTCATATGTCTGTCAATGAAGAGGGAAGATCATTGTCAATGTTTCGATTCAACAACCATACGTAAGCAAGCGCTATGTAAAGTTTTGATTTTTAAAAACAGACCTGTCCTGTGGAAACAATAGCAGGATCCTTCATCAGTTCAAGAGATATTGGACAAAGAAAATCCTCTGGGATCGTGAGTTCGTCTGATTTCTTTGAGTCATCGTTGTTCTTGGTAATTCCTTTCTCTGATCTCTCATCATCAGCATCCTTTGATAATAAAAAGGCCAAGGAAATGGAAGAGCTTTTTCGACGCGGTGATTCGAATTTCTTCTCATCTGATAAAGGAATGTTGGAATCCACTGTTTCTGGAATACTCTCCAGCTTCTCAGTGACTTTGCTCTTCGTCTTGATCAAGGAATCTTTCTCCATTGCCTCGGATAGAGCACTCGAAAACTTCTTCGAATTTAAAGAACCATATCTCTGCATTGCTCTTTTCAACTGAGACCTTGCTAGTTCCACCTGATTACAAGCAAGAACCTTAGGGGATAGAACAACGACATAAGTCTGCATACTCATGAATGAGCTTTACCTGTTCACGGACTTCGTCAGAGATGTCGTATCGACCATACGGCAAATTGCTTAATGCTTTCACTAGCTTCCAAGTAACACACTGGAACTGGAATGTGATTCTCTTAGCTGCCCCGTCCTTCAATTCAAGATAAACCAAAAAGATTAGAGAGTTGCTCATATCTTCTTTAAGAGATGGACACAAATGTCAACAACATATTGGGTTACAACTTCTTCCTACAAAGTAGGTCCTGCCATGGTGAAACCAATGATTGGATCTAAGTATGAAAATTATACAAAGAAGCTAGACAAGAACTTGATACACAAAGAATTAAACATCTAATTTGAGAATCAATCAAATAGGATCAAAATGTGCAACAGAGTCAACTCTTCATTTCGTTTCGTGAATTCGATTTCATTTCCTTAGATCACAAAGGG